ATATATATAATTTGTACTTTAATCCATTTTATTCTAAGTGCTTGTAAAATGTTTGTCCCAAAAGTATTTGAAGAAAACGGTCAGCTTTTTTTTCTGTGGTGATTTGCATTGTGCGCTCTTGAGCTTGTCCGAAAACATCAACACAACGCGACTCACCCTGACGTAGATTCCCATTCTCTATTGGCCTCTTTACAGCTGTTCAATTCATGTGTTTCTTCTGTTCACATAGCTATCTGATACGTTTGGCCACATAAATACATCTCTAATATACGGATATGATTCTGCTCTTCTGATTTCTCTCTCAATCCCAGAGACAAGGTGGCTCTCAGAGCACGGTTGGCCCGGAGTTCAGCACAGCGGCTCTGATGGAGCACCTAAGAGAAAAAGAGGAGAGGATTTTGGCCCTAGAGGCCGACATGACCAAATGGGAGCAGAAATATCTGGAGGAGAGCGTCATGAGGCAGTTCGCACTGGATGCCGCTGCTTCTGTGGCCACACAGAGGTGGACACATACACTGCTCTACACTGAACATGCACTGTACAATTAGTTAGTAATTAGTTCTCAAAGTTAAAAATGACCATTGAAAAAAATGTTTGACATAAAACAATGCAAGTTTGCGAAGCATCAGTGTTAAACATCAACTGTAAAGTGCGCTACAGTGCCAATGTGGCAGTTTTTTTATTTAAAGCGACTCTCTATGATATGAAATTAAACTAAAACCCTATTTTTTAAGCCCTTTCACTTCACACTCCAAAGGTAAGGGGTAGGGGTAAAAACATTGAATTGGGCCTAAAAATTGTGATTACTATTGGATAAAAACTAAAACTCTCTGCACCAGTAAATCTAACTTTAAATTAAAGTTTTTTTTTTTTTTTTTAAATCAAGCTATACAGTGCTCAGCATTTATAAGTACACTCATCACAAATCTATCTTTTAAATTCATATTTTTAATAGGAAGCTAAACAATATTATATTTGTGCAAATACATTAGTCAGTACTTGAGCCAAATCTGGAGCTTATCTAATGAAACAACTCACGACAATGGTCCAAAAACTAGTAAAGCCAAATTTATGTTATAGAAAAATATTAAATACAAATTTAAAAAACAGGAAAAATCAAGAAAAGCAAAAAAAATTGTCAATTTCAGTTGAAATTTTGTAGGTTGTAATTTTTTTTTGTAATTTGCTTGAATTTACTTGTATTATCTTTTAGTTTGTAAATATGTTTGGTGACTAAAATATGATTTTAATAAATATATCTGTTAATAATAAATAAATCTAATAAATCTTTTTCGTTTAAATGCCCAAAAAATACAAAAATGCCTATATTCACTGAGAAATGGATAAAAATACTTATTTTGAAAATGGGGTGTACTCAATTGTGCAGGGCACTGTATAAAATGTTTTTATGTTTTTGAAATAAGTCTTTTATACTTACCAAGGCTGAATTTATTTGATCTAAAATACAGACTATATTATTATTACTTACTAGTACATTTTACAAATAAAAATAAAAGAAAAACAAATGATTTAGCATCCTTACTCCAGTCTATAGTCTTAATCAGAAATCTGTAATTATTATAGGTGCTCAGATGTAAGTTGTGGTTCTTATTATAACCGATATTGAAATGAGTTTTTGTTGCTTATTTTATTTTTGTGTCAACAACAAAACATTTTTTCAGGTTTTTAACTAAAAATGAAAAATAATAGAATCATTTTAAAAACTTTTATAACATTTTAAATGTATAAAGTATACTTATAGTTCACTCAAAAATAGGGATGTAATGATTCATAGTGAGCCAGTTGAAAATCGATTAAAATATGTGACTATTAAAATCGGTAGAAATGTTGAAGGAATCGTAATACATGTTTTACACCGAGGAGGTCGATGTGTCTACAGGCGCAAGCTTGCTTTACCTGCACATTAGCGACGAGCATATGGTTATGGATATGGTTATGGTTGCCGGATCTAAATTTAGATTATTTATTAAAATTCCCATTTTATATATTTTATTAATGTCTACCCCCAACCCTAAACCCAACCATCTCAGTAATGTGAAAACATTGGTTATACAAAGTATTATTTCTGCTATCTAATAAATTACCCAATAAAGTGTATTTTTTAATGCCTACCCCCAGCCCCAAACCTAAACCCAACCATCACAATACTGTAAAAATGTTAATTATTGTTTTACAGTGTCATGAAAAATGCTACTATAATTGATGTACATATCGCACTTCCGGCCGGCCGCACATCCGATCTAGACTTTACCCAGACTAAATGGCAGTGGTTAAGTGCTCTAGACAAAACACAAACTGTGTGCATATTTGCATCTCTGCGTGCTCTGACGAGTGCTAATGTTACAGAGAGCACAAACATTGCAATTTAGTTATTGCAGGAAAAACTTTATTTTGTTAAAAAAAAAAAAAAAAGGCATTTGAGAAAATATGAAAGGGCTCTTAAATTTGTCTCAAATAATTTTGTTAAAAATCGTGTACTGTACTGTGAATCATATTGCATTGTGAGTCAGGTGAATCGTTACATCCCTACCAAAAAATAAAAATCTACTCCCTCTTTACTTACACTTAAGAAGTTTCAAACCTGTTTGAGTTTCTTTTTTTTCTGCCGAAGATACACAAAAGAAGATATTTTGAAAATGCTGGAAACCAGTAATCCTTGGCATTCATGCTAGGAAAACAGTACTACGGAAATCTATGGTTGCTGCTTTATAACAGTATCATCATTTCGGTTAAACAAAAGAAAGACCGATTAGAACTGGTTTGGAACAAGTGAAGTGTGAGTAATAATGAATGAACTGTTATTTTCCACCAACTATCCCTTCAACCATCATTTTAAACAGTTTCTGCTGAAATATGAAGCAGCACAACTGTTCATCAGCATCACTACTAATAATAAAAAATATTTACTGAGCACCAAATCATCATATTAGAACAATTTCTGAAGGATTGTGTGACACTGAGAAATAGCGTAATGATGCTGAAAAGTCACAAGGAAAAAATTACTTTTTTATTCATTCATTCATTTCAAGCATTGGCTTAGTCCCTTTATTATTCCGGGGTTGCCACAGCGGAATGAACCGCCAACTTATCCAGCAGATGCCCTTCCAGCTGCAACCCTTCTCTGGGAAACATTCACACACACATTCGCACACACTACGGACAATTTAGTCTACCCAATTCACCTGTACCGAATATCTTTGGACTGTGGGGGAAACCGGAGCACCCGGAGGAAACCGGGTGAGAACATGCAAACTCCACACAGAAATGGCAATTGTGCCGAGGCTCGAACCAGCGACCCGGCGACCTTTTTGATGTGAGGCGACAGCATTACCTACTGCGCCACTGCCTCGCCAAAATTACTTTTTAAATTATAAGTTATTTAAATTTCACCATATTATGCACTGTAATACATATTTGCTCAGAGACTTTGTACACAACGAATAAAAAAAGCAAACAAGTAAAACCGTACTAAAAAACTCCAGTTCATGATTGATTTCTGCATGTTTAACAGAGACACGTCGTCTGCCATCATTAGTCACTCACCCAGCAGCAGCTACGACACTTCAGTGGAGGCTCGAATCCAGAAGGAGGAGGAGGAGATCCTGATGGCCAACCGCCGCTGCCTGGACATGGAGAGCCGGATCAAGAACCTGCATGCTCAGATCATTGAGAAGGACGCCATGATCAAGGTCCTCCATCAGCGCTCGCGGAAAGAACCCGCCAGCAAGCTGGACACTCCGGCCATGAGGCCCTCCAAATCCCTAATGTCCATCGCCACGGGCACTGGCGGCTCCAGTGGCTCCGGCCTGCTGTCTCACTCTCTGGGGCTCAGCGGCAGCAGCCCGATCACGGAGGAGCGCAGGGAAGACCGCAGCTGGAAGGGCAGTTTGGGTATGTGATGTACTGTTCAAATGACTTCCCTTTTATTATGTTGGGGGCTGTTTTTTCCCCCCAATGACTTCCATTGTAACCACATTTTTTTTTGCATTCTTGATTGTTTGCAAAAAAGTTTTTGACTTTTATAAGCAATTCTATGGAGTAAAGCAACAAATTATGGATTATATTACCATTTTTACTATGTTCTTAGAGCTGACTTGCAGATTTTTTTTCTTCCTCAATCTGATTTGCTCCTCTTCATGTTTCAGGTGTTCTGCTGGGTCCAGAGTTCCGTGGAGACTCTCTGAGAACAGAGTCCATTTCCTCTTCTCCATCTCCAGTCCTGCCCTCCACTCCGATGCCCCTAGCCACACACTCAAAGACGGGCAGCAGAGACAGCTGTACGCAGACAGAGAAGAGCCAGGAGAACAGCAAACCCAGCACACCTGCCCTGCAGAACGTCCCAGGACCCAGCCGAATCAGCAGCCCCAGCCCCGTCTACATTCCAGACCGCATCGCCGGTACATATCTCTCTCTCTCACACACGCACACACACATTACACACTATCAATCTGATGTTTGTCATCCAAGTTCTTCTTCACTTTAAGTTTATCTTTGCATTGCAACCTATGACAAGAACCAGCTGCAGAGAAAGTGTTTAAAATATATAGTTAAATAATATTTGTAATAATTAGTTTAGTCTTTTTTTTTTTTTTAAATATGTTGTTTAATTTACGCAACACAAAATGCAATTAAGCATAAGATGCAACTCATGTATGCCTTACCTTGAACTTGAACACACTTGATGAGCATGTCATTGATTATTTTAGAAAGATGTGTTTTTAGAAAAGATATTCTGTAGTTTAGCATAATCTACTTTTATTTCTTTTAGTAAAAATGTAACAAGTGCAGTTTGGTTTAAAAAGTGACATATTTTAAAAAGTAGTACCTGCTTCATATATGTATATATATATTTTTAACAATTCAATACAGTGCACATATTGTGTATATACATGTTTTAGCTATATCCAAAAATATGTTTTTGACCCTTCTACTACCCCATAATCCAGCTTTAATATTCCACCTCAAAAGCAGTTTTGCACTAAATCCTGGATAAAATCATTTAAATATGTAATAAGGGTAGAACTTTTCCAAAGTTACCGGAAAATAGTGGTGAAAGTACTCTAAACTCCTGGGGCCTCATGTACGAAGACTTGCGTGGAAATCCTACTAAAACATTACGTACGCACAAAGCTGTAAATGTGCGCACGCAGAAAAAAATCTAGATGTATGAAACACTGTGTACGCCGAATCTCACACATATTCTGTTTGTACATTTGAATGAACGTGAAACTGAGCGCAACATGCACGAGCACAAAACCCCTCCCTGCCTCCTCCCCCGTATGAATATAGAGTGGGGAGAGTTTAGCTGATGTGGTTAACACAGTTGGGTCTGAACATCGCACTGAGTGGATTATAAAATAAATAGTAAGATATATACGCGAAAAATTATGTAGTGTCTTTAACAGCCTAAGTGGCGTAGCTAGTTAAACCCATGGCAACATGTTTTGACACGTTCAACCATGAACTCGGTTTTAATCAAACGGCTATGAACTTTCTCTTTTTTTCCCCCGCTACATATCAGATTTTGCCTATATATTCTTTATCATGAGAAAGACAAGTAGGAATCATTAATAAGTCTGTGCATCAAATTTAATTTGCACATTTATTGAATGGAAATGTTTCTGATTCAAGTATGCCAGTTCATCCTCAGATGGCGCCTTTATAGCAATGTGTGTGCAGTAGATCAGTAGCTCCCATTACATTGGGAAAACCGGCGACCCGCTGCAAATTGCAGTTTAATGTTTGGATGGTCAACTGTATGGTACGGAAACCTTATATACTGGACATGCGGATGAACCCGTCTCATACAGCTGAGAAGGCACTTTGTAGAGTGCAATTTAACACAACTGCCTCTAGGAGTCGCCAATGGAAATAAAACAGACACGCACAAAAAATGTGCGTACGCCAGCCATAAAGCTGGCGCGGAGCTGCGCACATTCCCACGTTCAGTTCATCGTTAGTAAATCCAAACGTGAGCGATTCTGAGCGTCAAACCTGGCGTACGCAAAGTTTTTGTGCGTAAGCAGCGTTGATACATGAGGCCCCTGATTTGTTATTTCTTCATTATCATGAAACATTATAACAACTTATATTATTTTAAATACAAATTAAAAAACCTGATAAAATATGATTAAGATTTAAAAGCCATTGCTAGTTCATGTTGTAAAATATCCAGCAAAAACTGGAAAAAATTGGTACAAATGATTAAAATTTTTAAAAATGTCAAACGAAACATTAACCTTAAAATTTACCTTTTAAAAATCCCAATGAAAGCAAAGTCATTATAGTTAACAAAAACAAACGAAAAAAATTAAAGCTAGATTAAAAAATATTATTTTCGCTAACTGAAATACAAATAGAAACAAGTATTTTTATTTTTTTTAACTAACTGAAACTGTATTGTATACATACAAAACGAACTAAAATTATAGCCAAAACGTCCTTTGTTTTCTTCTTTGCAAATGTATTTAATACAAAAGCCTACTGTATGTCTTTTAGAAGTAAATCTATTTACTTTGCGCTGTCAGATTGTTTGACCCGTACGGCACTTCAGAGTCTGTAATCTTGATGCCATTGGCCAGATCAAGCCAGTTCTTTTCCAGTCAGTCCTCACTGTTGCTACCGTGACAAAAACAAGTGGACATGACAGCAGCATGTTGACAGCATTAAATACAAAGACTCAATATGATTAATTTAACACATGTGTGCCCAATAACGGGTTTTATTTCTGTATTAGTGATTGCAAACGAATCGTTCTTTCAAACCAGATCTTCTAAGTGAACCGGTTGAACTAATTTACCAAATTGAACAGAATCATTTGAAACAATTTGTTTCTCCAGTAAGCACTCTTGTCCTCAAGCTATTTTTTTTTTATCATGCCTGATACTCCCCTGACTCAAAGTAAACCAATATACAAGGTGGGCCATTTATATGGATACCTCTTAGGGCCTACTCACACTATGCCATCCGTACCGTGCCCAGGCCCGTTTCCCGGATCGTTTGAGAAGTGTGAGTGCACTGAATCGGGCTCAAGCATGGTTCACTTGGCTGGCCCTGGCCCGGTTGGAAGAGGTGTGCCTGAGCGTGGATCACTTGGGCTTTGGCGCGGTACGCTTCTGTGTGAGCGCGAAACGCGCCAAAGCCCGAAACCGAAAGCGAGACGTGACTTTTAAGGGGCTGTTTCATATGCATTTATTAATCATTCTTACTGTTCAGTGATCGCAAACTGCTGTAGTTTATTAAAGACGCAAACTCCTCACAGCATGACAGCTGCGCGCCTTCAGCAGACCTCCTCATTCCTGCAGCACGAGAGCTTTATGATTGTTTAGAAGCGCCAAAAGTGGTGGATCTGTCCGGTAAAATATCTGACTGCGAGTCACCGCATCCCTAAGGACTGTTTGGCGAAATATTTCACTGCATGTCACTGCATGACAAACGACTGAAAGGATATAACTAGAGAAATCTCCACTGTGCTACTGAGTGAGAGCGTATGGCAAGCCGTTTTAGCATTCAAACCTTGTTCTGACTATTCATAAATATATTTAGAGATATAATTATATTTTGACTAGTCATAATTATAATTCGACTACTCAGAATGACAATTAGAGATATCTGCAATTACAATTGTACTAGTACGAAATCAGATTGGAGATATCTGCAAATATATTATGACTACTCATATTCCTCCATTGACTTTCATTGAAAAATATTTGCAGATATCTCTGAGTTTTGACTCGTCAAAAATCCAATTATCTACAACTATATCTACAACTGTAATTCGACTATTAGTAAATTAATTAGAGAAATCTTCAAATATATTAGTAAATATCTCTAAATATGATGAATTAAAGACATCTCCAAATGTATTATGACTAGTAAAAACTCGGAGATATCTCTAATTACAATTGTGACTAGTCAACTCATTTAGAGATATCTGCAAATATTTTTCAATGGAAGTCAATGGAGGAATATGACTAGTCATAATATATTTGCAGATATCTCCAATCTGATTTCGTAATAGTACAATTGCAGTTGCAGATATCTCTAATTGTTATTCTAACTAGTCGAATTATAATTATGACTAGTCAAAATATAATTAGAGATCTCTAAATATATTTATGGAGTCAGAACAAAGATTTAAATGCTAAAAAGGCTTGCCATAGAGAGCACTTCTGAACAGTGCAGCAGCGATGACGTAAGCGTGCCGAGGCCCGATATGGTGTGAGCGCGGGCCGTCGGGGGAGACGGGAGGGGGGACAAGCGTGCTTTGGCCCGGTTCGAGGCAACTGTACCTAGTGTGAGTACGGCCTTAATAAAACTTAGTGAGATTTTCACAAGAAAAACAATGATGTGCTTGGTTTTAATGTAACTTTATTCTTTCACGATTTGTTTACAAGCCCCCTCACATATACTAAGTTGCCACAAACTGGCCGTTAATATCACCAACCATTCCCATTTTATTTAAGTGTATCCATATAAATGGCCCACCCTGTATACTGTTATTCAGATATTAGAACAGTACACTGAGATCAGATTTGAGAGGTGGTGAACCGATAATACTGCACATGCGCAATTCAGCAGATGTATGCTTGAGAAAGTGGATTTTTGGCGTGAGAATACTGCCAATAGCGTAAGTCTCACACTGAATGCGAGAGAGTTGGCAGTCCTGTGTGAGAAACTTTTCAGATCATGGTGGTTTTAGCTGACTGAAATTATGATTGCTTGCTACGTAATTTGCTATGTTGAGTCCTAACATTGTCACAAAAGATCTGGTTTGTGTTAAAGATCAGAACTTCTCATCACTGCTGTGTATTTAGCCTCAGATGCAGCCTTGCACACAAATTTTACTTAAAAGGCCATGAAACTCCCTCATTTCAGCAGGGTGTTTTCACACTTCTACTTTGAAAAAAGCCAGAAAAGTGGGCGTGCCCAGCTCTGTTTAGGGGGGAGTGTCGGAGGAGCACAAGAGGGATGGTGTGGTAGTGTCTAATTGACCACGCGCTTCAGAGTTTCAGAGTCAAAACACACACACACACACACAGGAGAAAGTGACTGTGTTTAAACTACATGGACATCTGTAATTGAATTATTTGCCAAATTATTAAATGGTGGACTTTAACTGCAGTTTGGCTCTTTCATTCAGGGAATTCATTCATGTCCCACGCGACAAACGAGATATTTGATTCGAGGAACTGCTCTAAGCGTGTGTTTTTCATGCAATGTTTGATACCGCACGGCGAATGAGAGAAAAAAAACCTCTGCATTTCTCTGTAACTTAGATGCACACGGCAGGCAGTGTCAGAAAGCCGCGTGTGTTATTCCGGTCACAAAATGCGGTGAAAATCCTACACGACGGTAATAGTTTGGTTGTGGTGCTAACATGTTTACACTCTGTGCAATAGTTGGTTCGATACGAACAAACTGAATACACAAAGAGCACTGGTCGCTCACTTACCAAACCTGTAGAGACAGGACAATCCACAGCAACTAGAGCCGCGTCTTTATTAAGAGAAGAGAAGCGAATCCGGATCTCCATTTGCAAAAGAGAAAAGGTCTTGGGTAAACAATGTTCCTTAGACAAGTTATTGTTGTCGCGCGTCGCATACACTAATCTACGCGTGATTCCAGCTGCGCTCTCAGAGAGAAAAATGAAAACAAAACTTCAGCAAATTAGGAAAGCAACACTGCATGCTTGTTCTGCCAACACAGAGACGCCGTCTACATTGTAACACTAATGAATATTTATGAAGTTGCACAATAGAGCGCGCTGATTGGTTTGAACCAAGTCTTACTCGTGCATTAATGCAGCACACTCAGAGACGTAATACGGTACTCCTAGGTACAGTCGCCCAGTCTACACGCTGGAATACACGCTATGATCTCATGCCCGTGACGCAGCTTCAAAAATTCGTTTCAAACCGGAAGTACGAATTTGCTCGAAATGATGCAAAAACTACCAATTTTCACTTTTTTTGTGAGATATATGTGTCCTAATAGTGTTTTTAGCAGTGTGGGACACATATACGACTGTCAACAGCTCAAAAAATGTGTTTTGGTGTTTCGTGACCCTTTAAGGCAGCTATCTTGTAAAACTTATTTTGTTTAAACTAAAACTAGAGCAATTTCAAAATATAGACACTAGTAAATCTGCCTCTAAAAACTAAAACTAATGAAAAATCCAAAACTATTATAACCTTGCAATGAAGTTGTGTTAGTTGGACATGGAGGTGTTCTTGAATTTGAACTTTTGTTGAGGAACACGAAGATGAAGGATACATTTCTAAGCTCTTTCAGTCATACTTTATTTTAAAGAGTCCTTGTTTTAGGCCCCGTTTACACTAGTCTGTTTTAGTTTTAAAGTGGCATTTTAGAATGATAACGATCGGCGTCCACACTAGTGTTTCACTCAGCGTTTTTGAACAGCTCTCCGTCTACACCACACCACTGAAAACGCACATCACGTGACCACACAAACACACACTCTGGCATGCGCTGCAGCATATCTACCCAGATGAGAGCTGTGCTCGTCGGACTGTTCATCAAGGATCTACCGCTGGATCTAATCTCACTATATTTGTTAAACGTGATATTTGATTCATCTTGTTTTCTATATCTCACAGCATATTCCCCGACTTTCGTCTTTTGAATCTATTACTTGTTCTTAGGTAACATGTTTTGGCTAATCCCAAACATAAATTAATAATTAATGTAACCACGTACATTCTGTATATTGAATGATTGCTTGCCTTTATTTCTTATAATGTATAAACTTATTGTACGTTATACTTTTATAATGGCCATAATTGGTTATTTAAACTGATATTCAGGAAAAGAGAGGGTGTGTTTTGCATTTTCAATGAGAATGAAAAGAGGGAGTAATGTTATAGGCTCCCTTTTAATATAAATATGCATACAGTGAAGACAACGCTCACTTCAACATTTCCTGCTGTCGGTTAAGTTGCTAATATCAAAATGAAAATAGGCAGTTCCTTATCTTGTTTTCATTGTATTGTTAAGAAAGTGGAACAACGTAGCCAGGGTGATGTAAATAAAGTTATATAGTACACTGCTCCCTTTAAAGATTTACCCGACATGTCCTCTAGAGTGTTTTCCATATCAAACTTGCGAAGTCTGAACTTAGAAGGAGAGGATACAGGACTGAACTGGGTGTAGACTACTTAGTATTGAGGAAAAAGCCCCAATCAGATAGGCGAATGTCTGTAGCCCCGCCTCCATTTTCAGATGTCTCCGTTTTCCCCCATCCACAATGAAGGCTGATTTATACTTCTGCGTCAAACGCCGGCGTATGCTACGGCGCTGATGCATAGCCCTTCACCGTGGCCGTCGGCGTCGGCTGACGTGCACCTCTTAAAAAATGTAACTACACGTCGCAACGACGCGTAGCGCAAGCTCTGTGATTAGTCTGCTTGGTAGCGCTGACGAGTCTGGGCGGGACCGAGAGCCGCGTGAATGGTGCGAGCCTGATGGAGCGATTGTTTACAAGTGTGGAGTCCCGTGAAGGAGCTCCGAATGGAAAGTTTTGTTTTGTGTTTACCTCATAGTTAAAGTTGTTGCACGTCCGCCGGTTCCTACCTCAAAATGAGCGAGTTTGAGCCACTTGTACATCCCGGAAGTGTTCAGGAAAAGCAAAAAAGCAGCAAAGAAACTCGATACAGAGGATCAAAAACACCTCACTGCCAATTAGCATTTCGAAAGTGTTAATGCAGACCAACAGAGACAGCCCGCAGAAGTATAAATGCACAGCCACGCGCGTTGCATGCACCGTGAGTTACGCCAATCACTTAACGCAGAAGTATAAATCAGGCTTAAGACGGAGCAGCAGTGTTTTTGAATGAAATAAGCCTCTTCAGTATTTCCAAAACACTCTGTTTTCGTCGCTCAAACTCCGGCATAGTGTGGACGGACGGCGTAACTGTAGCAAGACATATGCGTTTTAGAATGAAAACAGCCTCTCCAGCGTTTTCAAAACGCTCCATTTTCCGTGCTTGAAAACTCCGGCGTAGTCTGGACGCATAGTGTAACCATAGAAAAAATGTTGCGTTTTAAAACTAAAACGTATTAGTGTAAACGGGGCCATAGTGTAAAAGCCTGTGCACACCGTAATGATTTTTCACTTGTGCATAACAACATGTAACACCTTATGACTAAACAAAGAGTGCCAATGTGAGCCACAAATAAAACAGCAAGTATAAAAGTGTCATTTAAACAAAATTCAAACATTTATTTGGTTTGGCACACCACATTAAAAACTGGTCAACCAATAAAATTGGAGTTTTTGTTCGTGTGCCTGAAACAGCAGAATTATAATAAACACAACTTGGTGGCACTAAAACATAAACCTCTGTGAGCTGACTGTGTCACTTTGAGTATTTGTTTTTCCATTAAAGGCTGATTTATACTTCTGCGTCAAATGCACGCGTATGCTACGTGGCCGTCGGCGTCGCTGACGTGCACCTCTCAAAAAATGTAACTACATGTCTCAACGACGCGTAGCGCAAGCTCTGTGATTGGTCGGCTTGGTAGCGCTTACGAGTCTGGGCGGGACTGAGAGCCGCGCGAATGGTGCAAGCCTGATGGAGCGATTGTTTACAAGTGTGGAGTCCCGTAAAGGAGCTCCAGATGGAAAGTTTTGTTTTGTGTTTACCTCATAGTTAAAGTTGTTGCACGTCTGCCGGTTCCTACCTCAAAATGAGAGAGTTTGAGCCACTTGTACATTCAGGAAGTGTTCAGGAAAAGCAAAACACCAGCGAAGAAAATCGACACAGAGGAACGTTTACTGCCATCTAGCGTTTCGGAAGTGTTAATGCAGACCAACAGAGACAGCGCACAGAAGTATAAATGCACAGCCACGCACGTTGCATGCGCTGTGGGTTACGCCGGTCACTTGACGCAGAAGTATAAACCAGGCTTAAGTGTCATCTAACAATGAGTTTGCACATTCACTTTGCTGATGATAAAATCATGAGTGAAAATCATCAGTGCGCATGAGCCCTAACTATTCAATCAACCATGGAGAAACATTTATTAATTGCATGTACCTACTGTATAATCTGGCTTAGAATGCAGATTAGTGGGATGTAACTATGCTGAATCTAATTGTAATAACTATAGTAAGTACACAATTTATGTATCAAGAGCACCATATAACATCTTTACCTTGGCTGCTATTGGTCATTGATGTTTATGTTCTTGTATGTGCGCAGACGTGCCAGTGTTTCACAGCAGTACATTAGAGAGGAGAGCACCAGTGCAGAGTCTTCCTCCAGCATCAGTGGCAGCACAGGACATGGACAGCGACATGGTGGAAATCCTCATCTGATCATCTTTTACTGTGCAGGTGAAGAACTCCACACACTCCTCTATCATACATTTCACATCAGGATGTTTCTGAACAAACACACCGACAGCCGACTACAACACACAACAATTCATTTTTTGTACAGTATTGTCTGGTGGACTTTTTTTTTCCCAGACCTTCGGACCAAATTATAATTGTAATTCTTTTTTTTTTTTTTACATTTATTGCACTACTTTTGTTTATTTGGGTATGCAATTTGTCTGTATTTACGAATAATACAAATGTGGCACTTGAGTATCTAACAAAATGGTGACTAGCCGAACAGTTGTTACGTGTAAATACTGTATCCGAATACTGTAAAACTGAATGTCATAGGGCTTTTTTTATAATAAATTGTTGGGTGCAGCACGTTTTGAAGAGCAATGGACCACCAGAAGTTCACATGTGTGTCCAGAAGCTCACGTTTCTGTATGTGAAAGTGTGAAAGTATGAGTGACCCAACTGGTTTTGGGTTGGTCTGAATGAGATTCTCTAGTTTTTCCAATCTGAACTGTAGATTCCTGTAAAGCTCTGACACATAGGACATTTCAGTTTGTTTTCCACAATTCCTCTTGTCCTTTGTAAAAGACAAAATGGCTTCTTCTCCCAGTCTTATAATTGCGTTTGACCAAAGGAATCCATTTAAAAGGACACATTATGTTTTAGAGCAGGGTCTAACCTAATTCAAGATTTCACACGCATAAATGAGAAGTTCTTTCCATGAAATCAGTGAACATCTATGAAACCCTCAGATTTCATGGCTTTCATAATCTCAAGTGCTTTATAGTTTTCAGAGTTTTTCCCAAACGGCCACTGGATGCAAGTTTGCGGGTGGTTTTCGGCTTGACGTCAATGTGACGTCTGTTGGAATCGTGTGTGTTCATCTGGAACGTGTCACATATAAAGTGTTTGCACATCTGATCAACGTTCCTGTAATGTTCCCAGACAGACGCCATATCAACATTCAGCTGATTTACCTCCTGAATTGATGTGTTTGTCAGGTGCTTCTGCACACAGAGCTCTCGTAGGGGCTGTTTGCTGGCCTTTAGTATTCGTCGTTTACGTACAGACGAACGTGCAAGTTTACGCATTTTAAAGCAGGTCATCATTTCAAAGAAAAGCATCAGATTGATTAAAATAGCGTTTACACAGCTGTTCACAACATTGAGGCCAGTAGGAATGTTTTTAAACAACATGCTCACAGGGTCTGCGTTTAGATCATCACAAATACAGTCAGTGACATCATGAAATATTTCAGAAAATTAATACAAATTTAAATGATTATTTTCTATGAATCAAAGCTGAATGTTCTGCATTATGTTAGTTTCCGCAGTTAATGTTACATATAAATGCATCAAACTACATATGATGCTAACAACTTATTTAAATAGTATTTTGGTCCCACTTTATATTAAGTGGCCCTAACTAATATATACTTACTTATACATAGAAATTAATAGTTTGTTACAATGTACTTATTGTGTAAATACATGTATTTACTGTGTACTTATGCTTGATTAATACATGTATGTAATTACATCTGTAATTAACTTTTGTAATTACATTTGTTAATACACTGTTGACCATCCCTTACACCTTAACCCACCCTTAAACCTACCCATGCCACCAAACCTGTCTATAACCCAACCTCTATCCCAAAAGCACCACAAGTGTTCTCAAATACATTATAAACACAGTAAGTACATTGTATTTATTTTTTTGATGTAAGTACATAGTAGTTAAGGACACTTAATATAAAGTGGGACCAGTATTTTAAATAGTTTCGAGTAGGATTGCCAAAATTTTTGACTTTACCAATCGATAATAAAATTTAAAAAATGACCATTTCATGCATACCGTCTGCTGAGCATGATCTTAATCTCTTACAGCCTAGGATGTTTTTTACATGCATTTTTTTAATTTCTCTTTGCTATTTGAGCTTATAGGAACCTAATTAGAATAAAACCTAGGTATCATCTTTTAATATTAAGTACTTAAAGAGAAAAATGATGTTCATATATGTGGACTTGTAGTCCGAATTTACATAAAACACTTTTTTTCCATCACAGTTTATTAATACATATATATAACATTTTTTGAGCATTTTTGTATTATCAGAGAATAAAAACTAAACTTTTTGCCCATTTTGGACTGTTAAAAATCGTGTTTGGGACGCTTCATATGCTGCAGAACTGTTGCAGGATGAGACTGTATGTCGGTAACAAAATATAAAACATTCAAAGTATTTTAAATAGCCACTTAACAGCTAAAATGTGCTGTCCACATATATGGCCACTAAGCCCTGAGAGGGTAAACACCACTGTTTACCAGAGAAGGGTATGAACGGAGGTCGGAGCCAGCTGCAGATAGGCTGTTCAATTCAGTGCATCTTTGCTGAATGAAAGCAATAATCAGAAAACACACACATGCTTGTCTCAATCTTATGAACAGCTGAAACCTGGCGCTAAGTGAATGCTGCCCCCTGCAGGACACACAATTCATCACCGTTTAACCCTTTATAGGACATTCATTGGAAAACCCCACTGGGGGTTATTTTTGAAACCTCTGAACTTTTAGGACTTTATAT